AAAAATTGATCTGAAAGTGTGGCATCCTCTCGTTCTCTGCTCTTTCAGTGGGAGCTGCAATCCCGAGCTGCTAGTGATCAGCCATCTTGGATCTCTCTCCCCGATATTTCTTTGTTTTGTTTTCTTTTTTTGAGACAGAGTTTCACTCATGTTACCCAGGCTGGAGTGCAATGGCGCGATCTCAGCTCACCGCAACCTCTGCCTCCTGGATTCAGGCAATTCTCCTGCCTCAGCCTCCTGAGTAGCTGGGATTACAGACACGCACCACCATGCCCAGCTAATTTTTTGTATTTTTAGTAGAGACGAGGTTTCACCATGTTGACCAGGATGGGCTCGATCTCTTGACCTTGTGATCCACCCGCCTCAGCCTCCCAAAGTGCTGGGACTACAGGCTTGAGCCACCGTGCCTGGCCCGAAACTTGATATTTCTAAGGCAATATATGCATGTGTAAAATGAAATTTTTAAAATCTTTATTTCTTTTAAAAGAAAACAGGCAGCCTTGTTTCCACTGCAAATTAATTTATGATGTTCTCAACTAAAAGAGAACTGGCTGGAGTGCCAGAAAACCTGGGCTTCATTCCCAGTTCTGCTACTGACTTGCATTGATTATATTAAATGTTGGCATTCCTGTTTCTTCATCTGGACATTGTGAAAAGTAATACGGCACTTAACTCCTCTTTAATTCACACTGATGTTAGGAGTATCACAATCTTTGAGCAAATTGGTCCTTTTTCTCCCAGACTGAAATAGTCCTGTGTTAAATATGAAACTTGGTTAACCTGGTTAAGAAAGCCAGTTTCAAATGTGGCCAGGACTGGGACCATAGTTTGTCTGGGGATTTATGAGTGGGGACTTTTCACTCTATCCATAAGCAGCTGACTCACTTAGGGATTTGGGTTGTCTTGTATTTAGATTATTCTAATGCAGAATTACAATTGCATGTGAGAAGAAAATACTTATTGGTTTATATTTTATTTGAAATGCTTGTTGGTTATATTTGGTAATTGTCAAATATATTTATTAATTATGTTGTCACTTGACAATCATCAAGTGGGAATGACAGTAGAAAGAGGCATGAGAATACACTGTTGAATTAAACCCCTTTAGAGAGTGTTTAATAAAGGAAACTTGGTGTACAAAAGAACCCTGAAGGTAAGTATCAAAACAGCTGATTTCAACCCCCTGTTGTGATATTAGCTCCTCATCTAGCCTTGGAGATTTGTCTGACCCTTTTAGTTTTAGTTTCTTCAACTCTAAAATGAAGCAGGTAGAATAAATGATACTTTAGTTTTGTTCTAAGGAGTCTGTGATGGTATTCTAGATCAGAGATAGCAGATAGGTTTCCATTTGAGTGCAGATTCCCTTTAATGGCTTATGGTTGCCTGTGTGAACTCAAAAGTACCTGAGACGGGTCTCAATCAATTTAGAAGTCTATTTTGCCAAGGTTAAGAATGTACCCATGACATAGCTTCAGGAGGCACTGATGACATGTGCCCAATGCAGTCAGTACAGCTCGTTTTTATACATTCTAGGGAGATGTAAGACATCTGTCAGTGTAAGATTTAGATTGGTTGGAACTGGAAGGGCAGGACAACTCAAAGCTGGAGCTCAGGAGGCTGAGGCAGGAGAATTGCTTGAGCCTGGGAGGTGGAGGTTGTGGTGAGCCAAGATTGTGCCATTGCATTCCAGCCTGGGCAACAATAGCAAAATTCCATCTCAAAAAAAAAAAAAAAAAAAGTGCTGGGGCTTCCAAGTCACAGGTAGATTTAAAATTTTTCTGATTGGCAGCTGGGCACAGTGGCTCATGCCTGTAATCCCACAACTTTGGGAGGTCAAGATGGGCAGATCAGTTGAGATCAGGAGTTCAAGACCAGCCTGACCAATGTGGTGAAACTCCATCTCTACTAAAAGTACAAAACTTAGCTGGACATGGTGGCAGGTGCCTGTAGTTCAGGCTACTCAGGAGATTGAGGCAGGAGAATTGCCTGAACCTGGAAGCCGGAGGTTGCAGTGAGCCAAGATTGCACCACTGCACTACAGCCTAGGCAACAGAGTGAGACTCTGTCTTAAAAAAAAAAAAATTCTGATTGGCAATTGATTGGAAGAGTTACTATCAATAGAAAGGAATGTCTGGGTTATGATAAGGGGCTGTGTAGATGAAGGTTTTATCATGCAGATGAAGCCTCCAGGTAACTAGGTAACTGGCTTCAGAGAGACTAGACCATAAATGTTTCTTATCAGACTTGAGGTCTGTGTTGATGTTAATGCCAGTCACCTTTTCCTGAATTCTAAAAGGGATGAGGGTATAATGAGGCAGGTTCAACCTTCCCTTCACATCATGGCCTGAACTTGTTTTTCAGGTTAATTTTGGAATGCCTTTAGCTGAGAGGAGGAGTCCATCCAGATGGTTGGCGGGGGGTGGCGGGGGGGGGGGAGGCTTAGAATTTTATTTTTGGTTTACACCTGGCATGTTTTCTTTTTTCTTTCTTTCTTTCTTTTTTTTTTGATGGAGTTTCACTCCTGTTGCCCAGGCTGGAGTGCAATGGGGTGATCTCAGCTCACTGGAACCTCTGCCTCCCAGATTCAAGTGATTCTCCTGCTTCAGTTTCCTGAGTAGCTGGGATTACAGATGCCTGTCACCAGGCCTGGCTAATTTTTGTTTATTCAGTAGAGATGGGGTTTTGTCATGTTGGCCAGGCTGGTCTCAAACTCCTGACCTCAATGATCCACCCACCTTGGCCTCTCAAAGTACTGGGATTATAGATGTGAGCCATCACACCTGGTCTGGCATGTTATTTTGAAAAGGATTTGTAGGCCACATCTGGGCAGGATATTTAGCATCCTGTTTATAACTCAGCAAATGATGGGGATATGAAATAGGTGGGCATATTAGCAGTTGCTTTTTGGTTGTTGTTCTTGTTGAAACTGGTAGAAAAATCATTGGGCAGGAAGGTAAAAAACTGAGTTCAAATCATGGCACTGCTACTGAGTAGCTCACCAGTAGTTACTTTCCCTTCTAGGTCTCAGTTGCATTGCTTGGAAAATGAGGGAGTTAGTGGAGTGTGTTTCTAAGATCATGAGATTTCACAGATAATAAAATGTCTCCCAAAATGGCAGAGAGAGGAGTGGGGATCTGACAGAGTTTACCATTTAATTTTGCCAAATAAGAATATTCACTAAAAAAGATACATTCTACGATCATCATCATTTCATAAAAGAAAATATTGTCTTCATGCCATTTAAAAATAGGATAGATTGGTGGAAACAACATTATGAACTGGCATCAGTCTGCCTCCTGGCACATAGGAGCCACTGAATTAGATGATGCCAGAGGGGCCTTCTTTCCATTCTGTTAGTTATGACTTTAATGTGGAACTTGGAAGTAGACACAGATCACGATGTTTACTCTGGGCTGGTGCTACCCTCAGAGCTGCTGTGAGATCAGTGGTCATGTTTCCTGTTGAATAGTGCCTGACCCACCTCTTCTTTCATAGTTACAGGGATGAAGAGACCTCCAGTCCAGTCAGCCATGGGGAGCAGATGCCATCTTTCTATCCATCTGAAAACCTTGAAGATGGACTAATTGACCAAAGAGTATTAAAACAGAGGTGGGGTACCAACTTTAAGACATTTTAAAGCCAAATAACATTCTTCTCTTTTTGATAAGGCTTCATATGTTTAGATTTATTTCTAATTTGAAACTTTTTGTTTTCCTGGAAGGGAAGATATTTTTATCCAGTGAAAAAAGATATTTGATAAAGGATGAAAATTAAATTTTCTGGTCTTTGTTTTGGAAAAGTGAAGTTTTAGAATGATAGTATACATCTTTTAAGTATACGTTCTTAAGGAAAATGAGGATTTCTCTTTCATAAACTTTTCAAGGTAATTGGCAGTAGCCACAAAGATGATATTCTATGGAACGTGCCTTGTTCTGAATTTTGTAACTTGAATCTCCCTGACAGAGGCAGGTAATCATTTGCTTTATATTTCAGTCGTTTTGGTAAACATTTCCTCTATGATCCTACACTAGGTTTTATATGGTGTAATATTTCAATATATGGATTACAACAGAACAAAGGAAAACTGTAGACTTAACCACACATAGGATTTGGTGTTGAGATAGTCATAGGTAAGATGTGACCTGGGGGTCACGGCATCCCCTAGAGTAGCAGTCCCTAACCTTTTTGACACCAGGGACTGATTTCATGGAAGACAATTTTTCCAAGGACTGGGGTCAGGGGGTTGGTTTTGGGATGATTCAAGCACATTACATTTATTTTGCACTTTATTTCTATCATTATATTCTAATTTATAATGAAGTAATTATACAACTCACCATAATGTAGAATCAGTGAGGCCCCTAAGCTTATTTTCCTGCAACTAGACAGTCCCATCCGGGGGTGATAAGAGACAGATCATCAGGCATTAGATTTTCATAAGGAGTATGTAAACTTGATCCCTCATGCGCACAGTTCACAGTAGGGTTTGTGCTCCTATGAGAATCTAATGCTGCCACTGATGTGTCAGGAAGCAGAGCTCAGGAGGTAATGCCAGTGATGGGGAGTGGCTATAAATATAGATGAAACTTTGTTCACTCACCTGCTGCTCACATCCTGCTATGTGGCTTGGTTCCTAACAGGCCATGAACGAGTACTGGTCTGTGGCCTGGGGGTTAAGACTCCCTGTCCTAGAGCATTTCAAGGGCATCCCACCCAGGCAATCTGTGCATCCATAACCCATATTACATATTGTCTCCAGTCGCTAACAAACAAAGGCAATATCTTAAATGTAGTTCATTGAAAGGAGAGACTGTCAGCTGGCACAGAAAGGATAATCGGAGGACAGCCAAGCAAGGATGTGGTCCTTCAGTTTTCACAACCCCTTTACACCATCAGTTCGTTTTGTCCACCCAGCAGTACTGCAAGTTGGGCATTATTCTCTCCTTTTTGTAAATGAGTACAACTGAGGTTTAGGGAAGTCAAAGGGTTTCTAGCTATTTTTTCCAGGTGGGCTGTTGCTACAGCACAGGACCCAGCCACCCTCAGCATAGAGCTCAGGGAACTGAGGGCAACAGCCTCTGACTCAGGCCTGCAAGGCTCCAGCAGCCCTATGAGTGCAGAGAAGAGCAGCACCTTTGATGAGGAGCTCCTGCAAGTGGGCTTTGGCTCCAGGCTGTCCTCTCCACTTACTTTCCCTCTCTTCTGTCTTCAACCTTGCACCCCACCTCCAGCCTCCCAGCCTCAGTGCCTCAAGATCTTCCAGTGTTAGGGCCCACTGACTCTTGTTTGGGGTGATGACCAAGAAAGTGGAAGGGCATGTCCTAGATGTGAAATCCATTGCCTTGATCTTCCTGGATTGAACTACGGTGCAGGAAGTGGAAATACATTTGTAAGGTGGCGTCATTACTCTCCTTCCTGTTCATGGGTGCTTGTTGATTTCCAGAGCTTTCCTGTGATTGGCTGCAGGTGCATGGAGCAAGCCATGAGCTCTCAACTACCCCTTCCAACAGGAAGCTGCTAAATGCAGCCAGTCCACGTGTCTGTAACTGTGGAAATGTGAGTAGAGTTGGGGAGAACAGGGATTAGCCTCAGTGCTACCAACCCTAGTACCGCTGGGTCTCTGTATCCTCATCTGCAAAACGGAAATAATACTGACACTTTTTCATGGTGATCTTTTGAGCATTAAAAATAGATAATGTCTGCCAAGTGCTAAGCAGAGTGGAAGCAGAGGGCACTCAGTGTACAACCATTTCTCCATCCCTGCTCCTGGAGGCATTCTTACTTTCCTTAGGGCATCTTTTCTCTGCCTACTTGACACAGCAGGAGATGAGGATGCAACCTTCTAAACCTGTAGGACTTTCCCTTCCTTCCTTCCTCTCTTTCTTTCTTTCTTTTTTCTTTCTTTCTTTCTTTCTTTCTTTCTTTCTTTCTTTCTTTCTTTCTTTCTTTCTTTCTTTCTCTTTCTGTCTTTCTTTCTTTCTCTCTTTCTTTCTTTCTTTTCTTTCCTTTCTCTCTTTTTTTTCTTTCTTTTCTTTTATCTTTCTTTTCTTTTTCTTTCTTTCTTTCCTTTCTATTTCTTTCTTTTCTTTTTCTTTCTTTCCTTTTTCTTTCTTTTTTCTTCTCTTTCTTTCTTCTTTCTTTTCTTTCTTTCTTTCCTTTCCTTCTTTCTTTCTTTCCTTCCATCCTTTCTTCTTTCCTTTCTTTCTTTCTTTTTCTTTCTTTTGCGGGGGAGTTCTCACTTTATCACCCAGGCTGCAGTGGTGCAATCAGGGCTCACTGCAGCCTTGACCTTCCAGGCTCAAGCAATCCTCCCACCTTAGCCTCCGGAGTAGCTGGGACCACAAGTGCACATTACCATGCCCAGCTAATTTTTTAATGGTTTGTAGAGAAGACATCACATTGTGTTGCCTAGGCTGTCTTTTCACTTCTCTAAGCTGCCTGACATTTGGTCCTCATCATGCTCCTGTGATGCTAACTGGGCAGGTTATTATTCCAATTGTTTTCACATGGCTCATCAAAGACATAGCCCCACACTTCACAGCATTTCATATTCTTCATAGCACCTGGCAAGTGGGAGGAGAATAGGACTGGCTAAGAAATTGAGAGAAATAGAAGGGTTTGGAAACTAGAAGTGGCAGACCCCTATCTTTATCTGTGATCATGAAGTGTCTCCTAAGCCCTTTACTTACCTGTTTACCACCAACTGGCCACCTCTGCATAGCGCACCTTACGGTTAATGTTTCAATAACTGAACTTACCTTTCCTGCCTTAGTATGTCTTTGGCGGTAAGAAACGAAAATCCACTCAAAGTAAGACAAAGGGAGTTTACCGTGAGAAAGGCATTTCCCAGCATCCAAGAGCAGAACACAGAAATTTCTGAGCTTGAAGGAACAGGTGCTGGAAATCCAGATAGCGAAGTGGTCCCTTCTTTTCTTGTGGGTCGTCTCTGCCTCCGTTGTGCTTCCCTGTCTAGTCTGCCTCGTTTCCTTGCTTCTCCCTATGAGGACAGATTTATCGTACTGCTTCTGGGTGGTCTGCTTCCCTGTGCCTGGCATACGACTGCCGTGCCCTAGCACCAACTCCAAAGGAAATTCTCCCTAAAAACAGCTCAGGTCCTCCCTGCCAACTGTCTCTGTCTTTCAGTGTTGCTTCATTCCTAGACCAAGCGTGAATCAGGTGTCCCCTCCTGGGGAATCAGGTGGGAGGAGGGACCCATAAAGGCAGGGTGAAGTATCTATTTTTTTTTTTTGAGACGGAGTTTCACTCTTGTTACCCAGGCTGGAGTGCAATGGCACAATCTCGGCTCACCACAACCTCCGCCTCCTGGGTTCAAGCAATTCTCCTGCCTCAGCCTCCCAAGTAGCTGGGACTACAGGCGTGCACAACCATGCCCAGCTATTTTTTTTTTTAATTTTTAGTAGAGATGGGGTTTCACTGTGTTGACCAGGATGGTCTCAATCTCTTGACCTCATGATCCACCCGCCTCGACCTCCCAAAGTGCTGGGATTATAGGCGTGAGCCACCATGCCCAGCCTGAAGTATCTATTTTAAATATTTCCCATATGGTTCTGTCCTTTATCCAAGGCTGTGGATTGAGATAGGGTGGAAGATTTTCCCCGCTCCAATGTCCTATCTCAGATGGTGGCTCCACCATCCAACCCTGTGAGCCAAATTGTTGGAGCCATTCTTGGTCCCCTTCTCCTGCCCCTCTGCCTAGGGCACTGTTCAGTCCACAGTTGTTGATTAAGGGCCTACTGCATGATTTTTGTGTCAGGGTGTATAGTTTCTTTCCTCTGTTCAACATCCTTCTATAGAAAGCCTCTGTGACATTCCAGGCCAGGCACGGAACCCTTCCTCTGTGTATAGTATCCTCTACTTAGCTCTTGTTTGACTTGTAAACTAGGTAATGAAATTGACCACTTTAAAGTTTGTATTCTCTCATGAGATGATAAGTGCTTCAAGGACAATGACCGTGTTTTTGTTGTTGTTGTCATTGTTGTTTTTTGCAATTGTAAACCCAGCATTTAGCTTGGCTCCTCACACACAGAGGCTCAATAGGAGCTTTAAAGTAAAAGTTGGGGCTGGGTCCAGTGGCTCACACCTGTAATCCCAGCACTTTGGGAGGTGGAGGCAGGTTGATCACCTGAGGTCAGGAGTTCGAGACCAGTGTGGCCAACATGGTGAAACCCTGTCTCTACTAAAAATACAAAAATAAGCCAGGTGTCATGGCACACACCTGTAATCCCAGCTACTCGGGAAGCTGAGGCAGGAGAATCACTTGAATCCAGGAGGCAGAGGTTGCAGTGAGCTGAGATCACATCATTGTACTCCAGCCTGGGCAACATAGTGAGACGCTGTCCCAAAGAAACAAAATAAAATAAAACAGAACTTGGGATTTGTAAGTCAATGAAAGACTGAATACACTTTCATAGGATGGGATAAATGTTTGATTAACATCAATTTTTTTAGATCTTTTAATACAATCTGTATACTAATTTCTTTTTTACAGAGCCAAACTCCAGAGGTCTGTAAGCCATTCATTCATAACAGGCTAGAAATCCAAAGGTGTTTGGCCATGGGGCTTTCTTGAAGCCAGCCTTTTTCAAGAG